ATAAGGAACACGAGATTAGTTTGTGTGCGAATGGTTGCAGTGGACAGTGTCTAGTGCAGTGGACGGACCAATGATATTGATTGGGAGTTTGAGAGCGGCTGCCGTCACGAGAGCGGAACACACAGTGGCTGCTCCGCCCATATCTGCTCTCATGGCATCCATGCCTGAAGACGGCTTCAGAGAGATACCACCACTGGAATGAGACAGACACACAAATGATTTGAGATTCAAATTCCCAACTACTGATGTTTTTAGGTTCTGTACAGATGCAGTTACCTGTCAAAGGTGATTCCTTTTCCCACCAGCACAAGAGGGGGCTGTGCAGAGTCTAAACTGCCTTTGTAATGCAGCTCTAGAAAGACAGGGGGCTCCTCTGAGCCTTTTGACACACTGAGAAAAGCCCCCATTTGCTCACTCTCAATCCAACACTGAGGCCTTAAAGAACAAGAGGTAAACAAATGCAGAAAAGTGATGTGTTGAGTCATCATTAATGAATAGAGTGATTGGTTTTAATGAACTCTGAGACTACCTCTTGTGGACAGCCACTTTATGAGCAAAGGGTGAGAGTTTCTGCTCTATAGTGTTTGCGAACGCTGTGGGAGTGATGTGATTGGCTGGAGCTTCCATTAGTCGTCTGGCCAGGTTCTGCCCATCCCCATACAAAACACCTTTCTGCCATGCTGCTGAATCCACACTGCAAAGAAACAGGAAAGAAGAAAATTAAGAGCCAGAATTCTTAGGATGAGTGTGAGGTGCAGCATGTGTGTGACTTTATTACAACTCATGCAATAAACTTCCTAGGAACTCATGAATATCTAAACATCTGTGTTTTATATACCTCCCATATGGTTGGGTCGTGACACGGACCTTCTTCTTGGTTTTGAACTCATCATACTCAAAAAGTCCGAGCACAGCGCCCTCTGCTGCTGACTGCCCATCTCCACAAGGGTCCACCTCGACATGAGCTACCTCCAGATCCTGAAGCTGCCTGCATCCCACTGTACAAACACAGGCAAACTTGTTAGGGCGATTTGAAATAGTGCATTAAAAAACATGTTCTCAATTTCCAACACATGTATTATGAAAAATACAAACTAATTGAATGAACTCAGAAAAAAAAAATGCTGTGGTCACAATAAGACATTTTTGAGAGAAAACAAAGCCTATTTTAGGACCATTTATGTATATATCTTTTTCATGACAGTTAAGCACATTGTGTCTATATATTTAACGTTCGAGTTTTTGTTGCAATTCCAATTCTTCTCAGAACTAGGGTTGCAAAAAGGTGGAAAATTTCGGAAACATTCTAGAAATTTTGGAAACTTTTCAGGATATTTTGGAATATTCCAGGGATTTTTGGAAAGTTTCTGGAAATTTTCCTATAGACCATTTTGAGGAATATAAACAATAGCATTTTAACGTAATGGTCAATGTATTTCTGGTTTTATGTTAATAACTTGCATAAGTTCTGAGAATCCAAAAAGGTCCACATTTTGATAAAAACTTATGACAGCCATGTTAAAATAGTTTTACGATAAGCAGGAAATGTTCATGGGTAAATGACATCATGGTATTGGAATTGTCTATATACTGTATATATATATATATTTTAGGGCTGTCAGTTTAACGCGTTAACTTAATTAGTTATGAAAAAAAAAATAACGCTAATGCAGTTATGCCTTAAAATTCAAGATATTGGTTCAAAAAATTCCCCTATTTATATCATATGATAAGAAATATCACACAAGCAGCAGAGAGCAGTATCATGTGATGTGATGACGAGTGATGATTTTGTCCCGAATATCGCAAGTTTGAATGTGATTTTATACAACAGTTCAGTAAATAAGAAGTTGATATTGTGTTATATTTTAAACACAATGTGTTTTTGCTCAATTTTGCAGAGAAAAAATTACCTTTAAAGCCATAGCAGAATTGTTGCGTGTCTCCGAGCAACACAGCGGTGTTTAGTTTCGCGTTTTGAACAAATCGTGTGAACCAATGATTCAAAGACCCAAGCGTACGCTGCTTGCGTTCAGTGGTTATTCTCCAAAATGGCGCTACGGTGATGCGGAGAGACACAGAGGAGACGAATTGTTGAATAAAGTCGTTATTTTTGTTTTCTTCACTTACAAAAAGTATTCTCGTCGCTTCATAACGTTACGGTTGAACCACTGATGGCAGATGGACTATTCTGACGATGTCTTTCATACTTTTCTGGACCTTGACAGTGTAATTTACTTGGCAGTCAATCGGACAGTCACAAGCCTCCCGGTTTTCATCCAAAATATCCTAAATTGTGTTCCGAAGAAGAACAAAGCTTTTACGGGCTTGGAACGACATGGGGGTAAGTGATTAATGACAAAATGTTCATTTTGGGGTGGAGTAACCCTTTAATTCCTGAATGAATCAGACGTTTGAACGAATCGAATTAAGACATTTACCGCCACCTGCTGGCAGATTTAGTTTCTTGTTTAGAGTATCATTTAATAATAATAATAATAATAATAACATTAAAGGGATAGTTCACCCAAACAAAAAAAAGAATGTATTTTGAAGACTGTTGGTAACAAAGCTGTTTTAGTAATGACTTTCATTGTATGAACAAAAAATACTGAGATGTTTCTCAAATTATCTTCTTTTATGTTCCATAGTTTATGTTAGGCCGTTGTGGCCTAAATGTTTACGTGTAATACATGTTATGTTGAATCAAATAAAATATTACTTTCTAAAGCAACAACTTGTAATGTCTACTTGATACTTTCTCATTTAACACAAAAATAGCTTTAAATAATCTTTTGTGGGTATTTTCATAGTCAATTTTATTTTGCGATTAATTAGATTAATTAATCAACACATCATGTAATTAATTAGATTAAAATTTTTAATCGACTGACAGCCCTAATATATATATATATATTAGTTATTAGTTTAAATATTAATAAATAATAAAACTAACATATATTTTTAAAAAACTACTACAAATGAGAGGGGGAAAAAAACATTGAGACCATTACACCAACAGGGATTTTAATGACATTGCATTCTAAATACACAGACATTAATAGAGTTGGTCCCCCTTTGCAGCTATTAATAGCTTCCACTCTTCTGGGAAGGCTTTCCACAAGATTGCAATTCAATTATGCATTACAGTAATAGAGAGCAGAATAAACAACATTCAAAACACATTAATTCTTCATTTTCTTTAAGCAAAATCTAATTTCTTTTGATTTGGGGGTGAAATCTTACTCTGACGTCATGTTCTTGGCAGGGCCTTGTGAGATTTAGCCGAACACAACAATGACATTTACCTGACACAGCTGCACGGATGCTTTCCTTACAGTTGTCCCAGTTCTCTTTTCCACACACACCTGTGCTGCTCTTACCAAGACCAACAACAACTACACTAGGGAAGTCCTTTAAAAGAAAAAAAAAACTTTGGTAAGGATCGACTGATATATTAATCTTGTCATCAAGCATCTAAAGGACATCCAAGATCATACAGATGTGGGTTCACACCTGATGTAAACCATAGAAGGTCCTGCTTTTGCCTTTTTTCAGGAGAGGTCCAGATCTATAGAACAGAGAAAAGGAATGAAAGAACAGATGAAAAAACGAGAAGAACAGTAAGGATCAGTGTTGGGGGTAAACGCATTACAAGTAACGCGAGTTACGTAATCAGATTACTTTTTTCAAGTAACTAGTAAAGTAACGCATTACTTTTTAATTTACAAGAGAATATCTGAGTTACTTTTTCAAATAAGTAACTCAAGTTACTTTTTTTTTCCAATTTATGCATTACTTTTAAAAGTAACTTTCCCCAACACTGGTAAGGATGCAAAAGTCAAATCAGTGACTTACATCGTCAGCATTTCTGACAGTTTTCCTGAGATCGAGCTGTCAAATGCCGCCGCAGCCTCCGTCAAGCGTATCCCTTCATTGTCTGGCTGTTTCTCATACACGCCAAGAACTAAACCCTGAATAAACCCATTCAGACATAACAATAAAAACAAAACGAATGACATGTGTGTAAAGAGAGACATTTAGCTGATGATACGAGTCATGAAACTTACTTTTCTTGTACTGGAAGTGGCATGAGAGTCCGAAAAAAGTCTACAGTTGTGTTGTCGGGTTGCCGTAAGTAACACCCTTCTGAATGGTATCAACATCGTCTCTGAATTTATAAAAACAGATCAAATCAACCGTGATTCAGAAGATAATTCTTAGAAAGCCTTACACGTGACATTAGAAGGTTGAAAATCGCACACAGTCGCGGCTACTGACGTCAACAAAAGACGACATTTTATTCCAAAATAAAAGTCTCATTGACCCTAAAGGGACTTGGGACCTGCTTTGCCCTCTGTAATGATAAATATTTCGAAATAAAACAGATGTGTATTTTATTTGTGTAACTTATTTTTATTTAATGTGAAATTGAAACAATAACACCAATCTGTATGCTGTATTAAAATACAAAGCTCATATCGTAAACTGTCAAATAAAAACCGACATGTTTAGTTCTAACCTGTACACATTTTAATCGTAAATTATCAAACAGCGCGTTTAAATTAAATGTAAAAAAAAAAAAACAGTGAACAAAGTTGTTTTCATAGAAGATATGTTTATGGCCAAAATAAAATCAGGCCCCATTTCTGGAATATTGTGTCTAACTTACATCTTAAATAAAACCAGTATAAGACCAGTATTTCAATGGTGAATATGTGCAAACAACCTAGTTTACCAGTAATATGAGCTGGGTACTAGTTTGTCGGCTCCTTTTAAAGTTAAGTTTATTACATATTAATTTTTTGGGGGAAAAAACAGTGTGATTAGTCTCATCAAACATTACAATTTAAGGTACCACTGGAATAAAATGTCGTAAAAATAATGCAAAAAGTGCACAAAGATGAAGCATACAGCACAGACCACTTGCAACACTATTTAGCTTTTGCACACTATTTTGTAAGTGAACTGATGTGCCCCGTGTGTGCTTATGGCGCAGGCTACTGCGCATGACTTGGACTGCTCGCGTGAAGTAGGCTTGGCCTAAACGTTTTCATCCTGTTCGAAACCGAAATCGCACTCGCACGGCCGCCGATTTAAGGTAAAAGTCTAAAAGGAGTCCTAACTGCTTATGTATATGGCGTTACGAGCATGAACTGAACGCGTTTGGATTTTGCGGCGATCAGGAGCAGCTTCCGTTCGCCTCGCGTGTCACACTAGGCCCGCTGACCCACATTCGCGAGAGCGCTCGAGGAAGTGCGTGCTTGAAATTCAGCATTGCTTTTCTCGGCGAAGGAGCTCAGATCTGTTCAGGCTCCTGTGTGGAAGTGTGAGAGTGTTTTTTTGGGTAGGTACCAAATTTGTTTATTTTGATAAAGTAGGTAGTTCCGCGATACACATGCTGCTGCTACCCAGAGGTGACAGTGTAAGATTTTGTTAAGTATTGAAAAGTAGTACTGTCTCTTTAAGTTTAGATGTAACAGTTTATGCACTGACGTGACATTTCAGTTTTCATTACGACACACGTTTGGTTTAATTAGGATGTTTTCTCACAACGTCAGCGTCTCTAAGAGGTTTGACAGCCTCATGTAAATGAATGACTGGTATGTTTATTATAACAGCTGTTGTGGTCGCAGTTTAAATGGGTTAAACAGGAATGACGAGCATAATGTTATTTGGATAGCGCTTTATACAATACAGATTGTGTCAAAGCAGCTTTACAGTGTCAAATAGGAAAATAGTTTGTCAGTAATGCAGGAGGACAATATCAAAGAGCCATTTTTTCCAGCTAAAGTCAGTTCATTGTTGATTCAGTTATGTCATCATCCAGTTCAGCCGTCTTCCAATAGTGTCTGTGCAATCAAGCTGACAATGTTGCCAGAAATGAAGTGTCCCCAGTAAGCCAAAGGTGACAGTGGCAAGGAACCAAAACTCCACCGGTGACAGAAATGGAGAAACCAGACTCAGTCGGGGGCCAGTTCTCCTCTGGCCAGATGAAACCAGCATGACGGGGTTTAATTCCAGGCTGCAACGCTGGTCAGATTGTGCAGAGGATTTGTCTGGTTCCCGTGGTCTTGTGCCGATGGTCGTCGAGGTGATGAGGTCTTCGCAGGGGATCTGTCTCTGGGACGCATCTAGTTGACATGGTCTCCTGACAGTCAGGGCTGTTGAGGTCGTCTCTAGGTGCTGATCCACCATCTGGTCTGGATATGGACTGGACCTGAAACTTCAGTAGAGGCTTTTCATTTCTGTAATGACCATGATTAGTTTGATGCAAAGAACTGTGTGACTTTTTGAACCAGCAAGTGAAAATGTATTAAAAGTTGAATATGTCCTATATATGTTTTGTAAAGTAGACTATTTATGCTGAGTTAGCGGTTATGTGGCCCCAAGCTCTGTGTGCCCATCAATTACCTTTCACCTCTGACTGTAGCTACAGTGACCAAAAAGATTCAGAGAAGTAATATTAAACAACACTGTTAATTTGCCATTCAGTTATCTTCTGTTTTGTGTGTACGCAGGCTTTCACAGTTGCAGCTCCTCTTCACCAATGTCTTCCCAATGCATCAGGTTTTCTAACCCCAGACTGATCCATGAGACGGCGTTATCATGAGCTCCAGGTAGAGCTGAAATAATCTTCACATTACACTATCGTTCAAAAAATTGGGGTCAGTAAGATTTTTTTAAGGTTTGGAAAAAAAATTCTCTTATTCTCAACAAGGCTGTGTTTATGTGATAAAAAATACAGTAAAAACTGTAGTGTGGTTGAGTATCATTACAGCTTAAAATTTCTATTGTACTATATTTTAAACTGTAATTTATTTCTGTTATACAAATCAGAATTTTCAGCATCATTACCCCATTCTTCAGTGTCACATGATCCTTCAGAAATCATCCTAATATGCTGAATTGGTGATCAATGTTTAAAAAATGTTGTGCTGCTAATATTTTTGTGGAAACTGTGCTACTTTTTTCAGGATTCTTTGATGAATAGAAAGTTCAGCAATTAAGTTGAAATAGAAATCTTTAATTTCTGTAACATTATACATTTATTTACTGCCATTGATCAATTTAATGCATCCTTGCTGAATTATTAAGGTATTAATTGTTAAAAAAAAAAAAAAGATCTTACTGACCCCAAACTTTTAAACAGTAGTGTACTTCTTCAGAAATAGTAGCACAACAGAAAATGTGGTTTGATATAATTCATGTATCAGAATCAGAATGAGCTTTATTGCCAGGTATGTTTACACATACGAGGAATTTGTCTCTAGGTGCTGATCCACCATCTGGTCTGGATATGGACTGGACCTGAAACTTCAGTAGAGGCTTTTCATTTCTGTAATGACCATGATTAGTTTGATGCAAAGAACTGTGTGACTTTTTGAACCAGCAAGTGAAAATGTATTAAAAGTTGAATATGTCCTATATATGTTTTGTAAAGTAGACTATTTATGCTGAGTTAGCGGTTATGTGGCCCCAAGCTCTGTGTGCCCATCAATTACCTTTCACCTCTGACTGTAGCTACAGTGACCAAAAAGATTCAGAGAAGTAATATTAAACAACACTGTTAATTTGCCATTCAGTTATCTTCTGTTTTGTGTGTACGCAGGCTTTCACAGTTGCAGCTCCTCTTCACCAATGTCTTCCCAATGCATCAGGTTTTCTAACCCCAGACTGATCCATGAGACGGCGTTATCATGAGCTCCAGGTAGAGCTGAAATAATCTTCACATTACACTATCGTTCAAAAAATTGGGGTCAGTAAGATTTTTTTAAGGTTTGGAAAAAAAATTCTCTTATTCTCAACAAGGCTGTGTTTATGTGATAAAAAATACAGTAAAAACTGTAGTGTGGTTGAGTATCATTACAGCTTAAAATTTCTATTGTACTATATTTTAAACTGTAATTTATTTCTGTTATACAAATCAGAATTTTCAGCATCATTACCCCATTCTTCAGTGTCACATGATCCTTCAGAAATCATCCTAATATGCTGAATTGGTGATCAATGTTTAAAAAATGTTGTGCTGCTAATATTTTTGTGGAAACTGTGCTACTTTTTTCAGGATTCTTTGATGAATAGAAAGTTCAGCAATTAAGTTGAAATAGAAATCTTTAATTTCTGTAACATTATACATTTATTTACTGCCATTGATCAATTTAATGCATCCTTGCTGAATTATTAAGGTATTAATTGTTAAAAAAAAAAAAAAGATCTTACTGACCCCAAACTTTTAAACAGTAGTGTACTTCTTCAGAAATAGTAGCACAACAGAAAATGTGGTTTGATATAATTCATGTATCAGAATCAGAATGAGCTTTATTGCCAGGTATGTTTACACATACGAGGAATTTGTTTTCGTGACAGAAGCTTCCACAGTGTAATTCATGCATGCATATGTCAACAACATTCTTATTAAAATGTAATTGCAATTATATTCACATGCATTGTCAGTGTCCCACGTTCTGCATTTACATTTTAAAGGAACTACAGAGGAGTTCGTCTTCAGCCTTAGTCTATTTTTAGAAGTATATGGCTTCTCTGTTTCTCTCTCTCTCTCTGTAGTGATATGCAAAAAAACAAAGAATTCTATTAAATAGACATGTAATTGTTTTGCAGAAAATAAAAATGGTTTTCCATCACTCAGAGAATAAATGTGTGTCCTATTTTAGGGATGATGGTAGTGTTTTTGATGGGCTGATGGAGGAAGAGGGGAAAGATAAGGCGAAAAGGTGAGTTAAATTGCTGATTTTGTTGTTCTGTTTAGGGCTGCACGATTATGACAAAAATCATAATTGTTGATTATTCCTTGAAATTGTAATTGCGATTATTAATTACGATTATCACAATTTACACTGAATGATTTTTATACCATTGTTTGAAGCAACCGCATGCCATATTTTTAGATGAAAATAAACAAGCTGAAAACACTCAAACTAAAAAAACTTTTAATGCTTTTCAATAGTATTAAGCCTCAAATGTGAACTATACATTGGATTTCTTTAAATAAAAAAAAAAGTAAAAATATGCATGGTATTATAATGTTATACTAAACCTAAAACCTAAAATTAAAACAATGGAAAAACCCTAAAGATAAAAAACACATCTTAAGAATGTGAATGATTAATTGCCGCTTTGAACGATTACGTAATTGTGGCGTCCATAATTGTAATTGTGCAGTCCTAATTCTGTTTTATACTTATGAAATATTATCGTAATAGAAATGGGTATAAACGTCATTCAGATCTAATAGTTGTGTTGATGTAGGGCTGCACAATTAATCTAATTTCTAATCGCGATTACAATTATGGATGCCACAATTACGTAATCGTCCAAAGTGGCAATTAATCGTACAAAGTCCACTTATGTTATTCTGCACGCTTAAGATATGTTTTTTTCTTTCTACATGTTATCTTAAGGGGTTTTCCATAGTTTTAGTTTTAGTATAACATTATAATACCATTAATATTTTTATAATTTAAAGAAGAAACCAATCCGATGTATATTTGACATTTGAGGCTTAATACTATAGAAAAGCACTAAAGGTTTTTCAGTTAGAGTGATTTCAGCTTGTTTATTTTCATATAAAAATACAGCATGCAGTTGCATCAAGCAAAGGTATAAACATCATTCAATGTAAATTGTGATAATCGTAATTAATAATCGCAATTACAATTTCAAGGGAATAATCGACAATTATGATTTGTCATAATCGTGCAGCCCTATGTTGATGGAATGGTCCCAAATAGTAGATTACAATAAACATGTTTGTTTTACTTGAAGATTATTATGAGTATTTGTATGTTAAAACCACATTTAACAGGGTTCTCGCATTTTTCAACTTCTCTTATTATGGCTTGTGTTGTTCACTTTTCTCATGAACCATAAAAAAAAACAAAAAAAACAACAGAAAATGTCAACATCATAAACGCATCATAAATCACACTAACTTGATTAAAAGCAGTTTCTCCGGGTTATGCTTGTATGCTTCCACTATTGGTCTAAAGGTTAATGTTTACAGTGAATGTGTTTATCATGAATAAGCATTTTCCAGCCTTGTGTAATGCTTTTTTTTCATGTTTTTATTATCTTCAACCACAGAGTTTCCAGAAATAAGTCAGAGAAGAAAAGGCGAGACCAGTTCAATGTCCTCATTAAAGAACTTGGCACCATGTTGCCCGGAAACACACGCAAGATGGACAAGTCAGCAATATTGCAGAAAAGCATAGACTACCTAAGCAAGCACAAAGGTGAGGCAAAATAATTACTGGAATAATTACAGATCTGCGTTATTGTTTTGTCATTGCATGCATGTGCACAACAGATGTCTGTGATTGGTTTATAATGCTCAACCGCTGTTCCAAAAAAAAAAAAAAACAATTGTTGGCATGTGATTTAGATCTAAGTGGAATTCTGTAATCATCACTTTTCATGATTAATTTATCACAGCCATAATTGTAATCTTGATTAATTATGCAGCTCTACCATCATGCTACTCATGCAGTTTCTGCAGTATGTGCGTTGTGAGCCATATGCTCATTTTCTGTATGCATTGTATACCTGGTTGACCTAAAAAAAAAAAAAAATGCCAGAAGGGTGCTGTATAAATCGCATCATACTGGTACAGAATCTCACAATGCAATGCTTAAACAATATCCTTAAACTCCCACTCCAGATACACAGTTATATCACCACAGTTTTTTTTAATCAGACATTTTAATATTCAAGTTAAATAAAAAAATATAGTTATAACTAGACTTAAAATGCAGTATAATGAGGTCATGTGACAACAAAGCGGCATACTACTGCAGTATTTTCTATGCCACAGGATGTAATATTTCAAACACATCTGGAAAAAAACATACTTTATGAAGCATTGTACTCTTCCTTGATTATTACTATTGTTTATTTGTGTGTAATATTTAATTAGCTGAAACTATTTTGCTATACTATTCCATTCAATGATCCAGTGAAACTCGAATGCTCCTGAGCTAAGTTTCAAGTGTCTCAAGAATGCTTATGAATACTTATGGAATATAATTTCAGTTTTTTTATTTGTAATAAATTTGCATTATCACAAATCAGGTTTTTTTTTTTTTTTTTTTTTGCTTTGTCATTGCAGTGTATAAAATGTAGTTTGTAGTAATTTAAAGCAGTTTAACATAAGGCTGCAACATAAAATGTGAAAAAAATTAAGGGGTAATGAATACTTTCGCAACCCACTGTTTATTTTAAAATCTTTTGAAACCGGAAACAATTCTTTTAAATTGTAATAATATTTCACAATATTACTGTTTTTACTGTCTTTTTCATCAAATAAGTGCAGCCTTGATGAGCAAAGAAACTTTTTTAGAGGTAATGTTTTACCGACCCAAAACTTTTTAAAGGATGTGTAGTCTCTAAGCAACTAAAACCTGCAGATCCTAGAAAGCTGCTTACAGTGAATTGTTTGTGTTCAAATGCAGAAATTGCTGCACAGTCTGAGTCAAGTGAGATCAAGCAGGATTGGAAACCCCTGTTTCTTAGCAATGAGGAGTTTACACAGCTGATGCTAGAGGTAAGATTCTGCTTTGGGGCAATATGAGTGTTTGTATTTGTTTTTCTCTTTCTGTTTCTTCCTGTTGTGAAAGATGTTTCCACTAATAAAAAACATGTGCATCCTCATTCATATTTAATGTTCTTTCATTTTTCACCCACCACTTCTGCATTTTCAGCTCATGGATTGGAGCTGTTTTAGTAATGTGTTTGTGTGTTTTTAAGGCGCTGGATGGGTTCTTCATAGTGATGCTGACAGACGGCAACATCGTTTACATCTCAGAAAGCGTAACCTCCCTACTTGAGCATCTGCCTGTAAGTGAGAGAGGATGTGTGTTTAGTTGGCAGATCGTTTGTAGTCTATTTAAAGATTTCTTTTGGTCTTGGAATTGTTACATTTTATATCTGTCATGTGTTCATATATAATCATGTTTGTTTCAGTCGGACCTGGTGGATCAGAACCTTTTGAACTTTCTTCCATTGGGGGAGCATGAAGAAGTGTATAAAGCGCTGTCATCACACCCAGACATTGAAAACCTCAACTCTGATTACCTCAAATGTGAGTGTCCAACCTCAACCCCCTACCACATATCTGTTCTGCTGTGGTATTTTTGCACTGCTCAATAGGGCTGGGCAATATACCAGTCATTCATGACGATAACTAAGCAACATTGTGAATATTGCATTGCACTCTTCATATGGCCAATAATTGTTTATTTGGTTGTTAAGTTGTCTAAGACTAGTTGTGTGATCCTTTCTTGACTTTCATGTATGAGAGCATTAAAACATGTTTTAACTACATTCCTCATCTCCACTTCAGCAACAAAAAGAGCATTAGAAGTTTGACTGATTGCCTTGTACCATTTTTTTTTTGTGTATTCTATTTTATATTTGTGTTAGTGTTACATATTTATATTTTCGGCTTTCTCTTTCATATTTTTTCAAATTCTTTTTTTTTTTTCTTCTGTTTGCAAAGGCAACATTTCTCATTTTTATTTGTTTTTCATAAATGTATATTTTATTTAAGCTTTATTTCAATTCAAGAAAACTATTTTTATGTTTTAGTTAATTAAAAAAACGAATCTGTGTATATTACATTTGTAAAATAATTAACATTCTTCCTTGTGTTTTGTATTTTTACTTTACTACTTTATTCTTTTTACTTATGTATTAGTAGAATTTACTTTGTCATACTTTTAAACATTTTGGCAACAGTTGTTGTTTGGTTGAAATTATGGTTCATTTAATTTAAAAAAAAAAGCTATTTTAAAGATCATTATTTTGTGTATTTGGTGTAACAGAATATGTTGACATGCTTTAATGTTCAAAAACACATACTTTTTCAAATACTGTACATTATTGTAGGTCCTCTATGCCCCGCCTCTCTCAAACACATCGTTTTCAATAAAGCCCCCTCCTTTGACAAGCGCAGTCTGCTCTGATTGGCCAGCTGACCCAGTGCATTGTGATTGGCCGAACACCACAAGCACGCGTCGGAAAAGTAACACACCTTACCATAATCGCTAGATTCAGCTTTCAAAGTAAATATCAAGACTTATCAAGTAATAATATTTCCACATAGTGACGTAGACATGTGGGGGCGTGTTAGAACGAGCCGTTTTAGGTAGGTGTGGCTGACTCTTAACTTTTATAAAGAATATCTCTTTGGATTTGAGACTTTAGTCTTTGCAACTTTACAGATCTTCTTTATGCACCAAGAGCTTGTAACACTCCAAAGAGAAAGGAAAAATTGAAATCGCATCATATGACCCCTTTAAGTTATTTTAGAGGAAATCAATGAATACGAAGATATAGAGTGAATATTGGTAAAAGAATGAAAGCTTTATCACTCTATAGTCCTGTCCTGCTTCCCACTGAGATGGTAAAAGATTACTCTGTGCAAATGTGTGCTGCCTCAGCATATTTTCACTGTATAAGAATGACTTCAATTTTTATTGTAATGTTCTTTGTTGTTGTTTGTTTGTCTTAGCCAAGAGCCAGTTGGAGTTTTGTTGTCATATACTCAGAGGTTCTGTGGATCCCAAGAAACCGCCGGTGTATGAATATGTCAAGTTTATTGGCAACTTTAAGTCACTCATCAACAGTGAGTGTTTGTTTTTCCTCTCGATTTAGACTGGCTGAGTACTCGACCATATGTTAACTGCATTTGTTACTGCCCAAAGCACAATGTGTGTACTGCCAATCTCTTTTAACACAAATCTCCGCTTTGAATGCTCTCCCAGTGCCTCTTGCAACCCGAAATGGCCTTGAGGGAATTTTGCAGCACTCGTTGCAGCCAGCCTTCGACGATAAAGTCTGCTTTATTGCGACTGTGAGGCTCGCCAAACCCCAATTCATCAAAGTAAGCTGATAATCAATCAGAAAATAGATCTGCGTTACAAGTGCTCTCTCTGAAAGCAGACAGCCATGGGCAAGCATCATAACAAAGCATTACTGACATAAACATTCTGATATTGACCTGTTTGTTGTTATTGATTGTGTACAGGAGATGTGCATGGTGGAGGAGCCCAACAAAGAATTCACGTCTCGACATAGTCTGGAGTGGAAGTTCCTCTTATTAGATCACAGGTTTTCATACTTACTGACAGTATCACTTTCTCTGTGTTTGTAGCTCATCGTCCAGTTTTCATTCAATTAGATGTCTGTGTGTTGTTGTATTACAGAGCACCTCCTATCATTGGCTATATGCCCTTTGAGGTGTTGGGAACGTCAGGCTATGACTATTATCACGTAGATGACTTGCATTTACTGGCCAAATGCCATGAGCATTGTGAGTTTAAAACAAACATATTTTTGAAACTTTCATTTGGCGCCATATTCTTCATATGTCTCTCATATTCTCTGTCTCCTTGCAGTAATGCAGTTTGGAAAAGGGAAATCTTGCTATTATCGCTTTTTAACTAAAGGGCAGCAGTGGATTTGGCTCCAGACTAACTACTACATCACCTATCACCAGTGGAACTCGCGACCAGAGTTTATCGTGTGCACGCACACCGTTGTGAGGTACACAGAGGCACAACTACACCTAACAGAAAGAGACGAATGGTGACTTCAATTATGCTTTTTTTTAATTATTTTTGTCTCTAGTTACGCCGAGGTGCGAGCAGAGCAGAGGAGAGAGATGGGTATAGAAGAATCTCCCCCTGAGCTGACCGGAGACAGGGTGAGATGCTTCTGAGACAGTTACCTCTCAGAAATAGTTCACTGATGTGGTATAATGGACATGCTGTTAAATGGTCAATCTAAAGGAGACTGTGATTACGTTCCTACAGCACAGCTGTGAAAATAACCAGGTCCATTTATCATTGTAAGGTTGTCAGTATTGGTGGTTAACTATGACTGAATGATTAACAGATTCATGTGGGTCTCATTTGTGATAAATTAAATTTCTTTTATAAAAACATAAATTAAGATTTGTTTGTTTTTTAAAGAAATTAATACTTTTATTTAGCAAGAATGCATTGAATCAAAAATCACATTTAAGACATTCACTAAAGATTTACATTTTAAATAAATGTTGTTTTTTAACTTTGTATTCATCAAAGCATCCTGAAAACAATGTATCAAATAAAAGATTTGTATATGAAAGAAAATTTGAGCACCAGATCAGCACGTTAGAATGATTTCTAAAGAATCATGTGACTGAAGACTGGATTTATTGGCTGCTGAAAATTCAGCTTTGCATCACAGGAATAAATTACATTTTAAAATATATTAAAATAGAAAATGCTAATTTTAAATTGCTATAATATTTCACAATATTACTGTATTTTTGATCAAACAAATGCAGCCTGGGTAAGCATAAGAGACTTCCAAAAACATTGAAACTAACTCCTTTTTTAATAGTTGTATTTGTCCTATCTATCTATCTATCTATCTATCTATCAAGAGAGAGCAGATGTGATATATTAATTATATAATCATTTTATTATTTTATAGGCGTTTGTGTATATAACAATAAAATTATTATTTAAATAATGTATCACAATTGCTCTCTATACATCATTCATTGCAAAACAAAACACTGATCAACAGCTACACCACGGATGTTTCTTAATTTTCCTCTCTCTCTGCAGCAGTGTCAGATTTCTGGCTCTGAAGCGCAGTTAAACTCCTCCAGACTGAAGGAGGTTCTGGAGCGTTTCAGTAACAGTCGCTCACCCTCCACCTCCTCAAGGAGCTCCCGCAAGTCCTCGCACACCGCCGTCTCTGACAACACCTGCACCTGTAAGCATGACAAACAGAACCAAACGTGAGCTTTTCTATTGTGTTTTCTTGATTTTTGTGCCCGTTTAAAGCTCTTCATATCTCTTTGATTTCCTCAGCAACTCCCTCTAAACTACAGATGGATGTGAGCACTCCACCCCGGCCCACCACTGTTGATATGACATCCCAACGTCGTTCCTCTGTCAGCACCCAGGTGAGACTTGCGTCTTCATCAACGTCAACACTTGGCTTTAGTTACAAAACATTCCTATCTTAGCAGCTGGTTAATGACGGCGGTCTTATTTGTTTTGATAGTCCGTGAGTTCTCAGAACACAAATCAGACTGGATCTCCGGTCCAAACCAGCCAACAACAACAACATCCTCCGCCACAGCAGCAGGTTCAACCTAACGCCCTGGTGAGAATCATTTTGTTTTGTTTTTAGTGTTTTGTCCAATAGATCAGGTAAGCCACCATTTAAGTTATTTAATTTAGATTTTTTTTTCCCCATGACACCATAATGTTTCTTTTTCTATGCTTTCTGAATGTAGTTCTCTGTGCAGTTGAACGCAATGCAGCACCTGAAGGACCAGTTGGAGCAGAGGACGCGCATGATCGAAGCTAACATTCAGAAACAGCAGGAGGAACTGAGGCAGATTCATGAGCAGCTCCAGAGGGTGCAGGGACAAGGCACTCAGGTACACACATGCAACTGTGTGAGTATTGGTATTGGCAGATTTGTTGTCATGGAAACTAAAGCATGTGATTGAAATGGTGTCTTTTAGATGATACTGCAGCAGTCGGGTGGTGGACTTAGTGTACAGTTGCCGCAAGTTGGAGGAGCACGGACTAACATTTTAGGGGTTGGAGCACAGACTGGGGTCGTAACTATACAGGGCCAAAATGTGACGAGTACAGCACAGAGTGGAACTGTCCCACAGCAACAGAATGTACAGGGCTCTTCTGTTACACAGGTGAGTATCAGTCATTTTTCCAGTTAGGGGTGTAAATATTTGCTCTGACAACCATTTGATTTTAATTCTTTATTAAACAATGTTGAAATATGAATTTTGGTCTCAGTTCAGTTTTTCAGTTTTAGTCAATTCAAGTCTTTCTTTAAAATGTATAGGATATGTGTACTACCATTCAAAGGTTTGAGGTTGGTAAAAGTTTCTGAAAGAAGTCTCTTATGCTCACCATGGTTGCATTTATTTAATTAAAAGCAGTAATATTGGGAAATATTATTACAATGTAAAATGACAGTTTTCTATTTGATTATATTCTAATATGTAATTCATTCCTGTGATGGCTAAGCTGAATTTTACTGTAGTCTTCAGTGTCACATGATCCTTCAGAAATCATTCTAATATGCTGATTTGCTGCTCAAGAAACATTTCTTATTATCAATGTTAAAAACAGTTGTACTGCTTAATATTTTTGTGGAAACTGATGCATTTTTTCTGGATTCTTTGATGGATCGAAAGTTAAAAAGAACAGCATTTATTTGAAATGGAAATTCAAAATATTTATTGATCAGGTGAATAAAATTATTACTTAAAAAAAAGTCATACTGACCCCCAACTTTTGTACGGTAGTGTATATACATATATAACATTAATTATATGATTTTTAAATCAAATCTATTGCAGTTAGTTTTAAAACAGAGCTTGATTGACAGTTGTTAACATTACAGAATTGACTGCAGATAACCAGTACCTTTAGTTGTGTATTGTCTAGAAGTTTTTTTTTTTAAAGCCCATTAACAATGACATAATGTCTTGTTCTCCACTTCATATGGTGACATCATCTAAATGAATGACATAATTTTGTCTCTCTCTCTCTCATTCTTTTTCCTCAGCCTGTATATAATACCATGATGATCAGCCAGCCTGCCAATGCCAATGTTGTGCAGATACCCAGCAGTCTGGCACCAAGAATCAATGAGGGCAATGCAATAAACAGGTACATGTCTTTTTCCTCATCTCTCTTTCCCAGGACACCTTCTACAATATTATTATTATTAATTAATGACTTAAATATTTTTTTCATTGTCTTGCTCTGTCACTCTCAGGTTTCCTGCCGGGCAGCAGGTGGTCACTAAGATTGTGACGGCTCCAATGGCATGTGGTGCTGTCATGGTACCCACAACAATGTTTATGGGTCAGGTGGTGACAGCTTACAGCCCGTTTCCACAGCAACAAGGTCAGACACAGACCATAGCACTGCAGACTCAGTCAACAGCGCCTGCAGAACAACAGGCTCAAGCTGCCACGTTACATACGAGTCAACAGCAGGGGGCGATGCAGCAGCAACCGTTTTTACAGGTAACAAAGCATGCACATAGTTTCATTTTGAGTCTATTCAGTGGTCACCACTTTGGTATGCATTGGTATGCATCACCACGTGACATTCTACATAGTCTTCATAGTCTAGTTGACAAGCCTAAGTTGACCAAGAAGGTCAAAAAGATACTGGGTCAAACTCAATACTGTCAGCTGATAAATCCATCAAAACCAGTGCTTCTCAGCTCTAAACAAACAAAAAAAACATTTTACTTGTATCTGATTTTCTGCTATGTATTTGTCAGAGCACACACCTTCTCCATGGCAACCAGTCCACACAACTGATCCTGCAGGCTTTCCCTATTCAGCAGCAAGGTACATTTCCTCCATCACAACAGCAGCAGCAACTGAAACCACAGACTCAAAAACAGCAGAAAACAACCCCCTCTCTTCAGACGGACAGCACTAGTGCCCAATCTCAGTAACAGGGATGAACACAACGGCCAATTAGATGGAGGAGCCATCTCACATATTCGCTTCTAGGATTTTATTGGTGCTGTATATAATTTGAAAGCTCTATGCTAAAACAGCTCTTCCTGGCAGCATCTTAGAAGCTTTTATGACAAGGAACTCCCTCAACATGGCAGCTGCATGGAACACAACACCACCAGATGGACGCTGTGGCAACCGTGCGGAGCCTTTCACCGAACCAACAGGTGGTTGCCAAACTCATTATTTATTTCAACAACAGAGAGCATAGGATTGCTAGCCTTTGCATGGTCTTTGCCAAACAGAAAACCCTGTTCTCAGTCTTTCACTGTAAACAGTCCAAAGAACAGTGTTTTTCTGTAGTCTCATGTACTATACCGTGTAAAAACACAACCGTAAAGGAACAAAGCAAGATACTGAATATTTTATATGCTGCATGAAAAGTGTAAACTTTCATTTGTAATTCCAGCTTTAGGATTTACATTGAGTATTATTTTAATTTGAACGTTTTTATATTGTGTGTATAGTGATGCTTTCTATGTTTAACCCTTACCTGACAATGGTCTCTTCACGTATAGTTAGTGTGCGTCATAGTTTGTTCTGGAGGTTTTTCTGAGGCACTAGTTTTTTGGGAAATTATTATACCCCTAGTCTCTGACGTACACAAAAACCCGCCCACTTTAAGTTTATTTCTAATTATCGCAGACATTTGATGCAGAAGAATCAAATTTAATAGTTTTTAAGTAGCAAATTTAAGCTACTTTGTTTAAAAACTATCTACTTCCAATTTTTGTTGAATGTTAATTTGCTTTTTAGTCATAGTAGTCCACTAAAAAGTTTTTGTGCACCTTTCCCCTTACTTTTAGCACTTATTGTGTTCATACACACTAAAATAGTCCTTCCTTCTAATAATGGTCTTTTAAGTTAGTTTGTGTGTGTGTGTGTGTGCATGGACGGTACGTGTATTTCTCAGACGAGAATGACACGCCTTGAATAAGCTTTCAAATCCTCATTCATAAATGCTTTGTTCTCCCTCATAGTTTTGGGAGCTATGCAAGAAGCCACATCCAGGGCACAGCATTTCTATACGTGTGACTGAGGACGGTCTGGAGTACTGTGGATCTTTTAAATCCCATTTTCAGGAAAAGAATGATTATACCGTCCTCTTCCTAGTTTGATTTCCAAAGTTGTAATTCAAACCGAAGCAGGGTTATTGTGCAGATGTAGAGTCTTAAAGTTAAGAGTGATCTTCCTTTTGTGTGTGTCAGCGATGACCAATCAGTTCTTGCGTTGCAGTATCTAAGCATTCTAGATGTTTCCCCATTGGCTTGTTGTCTATATACCTCAGAAATGGTTTTATATATGAAGTATTCAAAGCAATTTTATTTTCATATGGCAAAAGACTTCCTTGTTAAACAGTATTGCTGTGTATAGACCGGTAACACTGTTAAAAGACGAGTTAGAGCTAAAAGGTATATGGAAACTGAAAAAGTTTTTGATATTGTTGACTTTTGGAATTCCAAAAGTTGAGATTCCCATAAAGTAGATGCCCACCTTTCCCTTATCTGTCCAATTCTCTTTCATAGTGTTGTGTTGTGCGTTTCATAAGATTTTACTGTGCACTGAAACCCTCAATTGTGTTGTTGTTACTGAACCAATGTTTGTCATAGTGTGTGCAATCAAAAATTACTTTAAAATTTCCTCCCCAAAAAAGCTGCTGACAGGTTGAAGAGAGAACTGAACTGATTAGGACCCTGAACATTTTAACCTTCTGTATCCAAATATATATATTTTTTTTTTTTTTTTTGCTGTATGCAACCAAAAGATTGTGCACTTTCAGAATATGATGGTTATTTGGTTGTAGCCCCAGACACAAGTCAAATAAACAAGTCTTAAGGTGTTTAACCATAAAATGTGTTTATTTTGTTCATATTGAATTGCTGTGCACTTCAGTACAAAACCTTGTTACCGCAAAGAACTGCTTGCAGATCATTTTACCTTCAGTGTTCATTTGTAGGAACTATCCTCTTGTCAGTTTACCAAAAACCAATCATTTTCTCTCTACAATATTCAATCTTGAAACAAAGCAAACCATGTTATTCACATTCTCTACTAAAATGTCTGCTTCAAGAGTTGCAAGAGTTTGTTTTATTGTATTTATAAGGTGACGTATTTTGCTGATTACATTACTAAATGGAATTGCCAAAATAATGACGTTTACAAACCGGTTTCTGAACGCTCCTGTTGTCTCTCATTGGCCAGACAAACAGATAGTCCGTCATTGGCCAGACAAACAGATAGTCCCATCCAAAATTTACACCATTGGTTGAGCTAGTTCAGATGGTCCAAATTAGAAGCGGGATATTGAAACAAATGCCATTGATTTTATTATCAAAACATTGCATAGCTTTTAAGGAATTGCACAAACAATTCATACAATAGATCCTTTACATTTTTGATTTTCATTTTTATTCCATATAAAAACAGTCACATCATTCCCTACTGGCCTTTTTCGTCTGACATAACACTCTAAAAGTTGAAAAAATAGCTGACACATCAGATATTTACAGAGTCAAATCTCATAGCAGTTATTTGTCTGTCAACATTCAAAAACATTCTTTTTGAGACCAACATTCCATCCTTCAAACATGGTTTAGTTGGCTGGATTCATTTTGGAATAACTTAGTATAAACTTTGGATATCTACTGGAATAATTAGCTTGTTAATAGCAGATGTCTGATATGTTTATCATCTTTTAAGCATGCTTAGAGAACAAAATCTTATGTTTTATGCCAGCTAATGTAGCCAAGTTAGCCGCATTTAAAGAATGGAACCTAGTCAGTTATTACAAGAAACAATGTACAATCCAAATATGATTCTCTCATTGCACAGCAACAAACTTTTTACTTATACATATTCATATTCGTATATACATATTCAACCGCTCAAATGTTCAATTCCAAATTCAAACAAAATTGCCAAAAAAACAATGTAGACACATCCTAGGTTTTTTTCCACTGGTAGTAAATATGACCGTTATACCAGTAAGTACAACTTGAAGTTGAGATGGGGATCTCATAGATACAATAATGCATTATAACATTCACTTGAGAGTAATCACATGCTGAAAACAGTAGATGCATGAACAAGAACCTTAATGTATTGGTATTAAGTGCTTCAGATAGTCACGCATTAAAAAGGACTTGCCTTGGGTTTAGTATCATTACCACTTACTGTTCGGTCAAGATGTACTTGCAGTTGTTCACCCGGTCAAAGACAAAAGATACACGACATCATCACAGAGTCACTACACAATGATGTCATAAGTAGAGCTGGTCATTTATCTGATGAGGTAACATTAGGTTCTACATCTAAATGCTTGCCTGACCATGGTAGCTGTTCATGCACTCAAAATACCATGTAGATCAATACCATAAAATGGAGCCCAGCTGCATTTAGAAAAATACTTTTAACAGTTACATGGCTGGACATGCTGTATCTTGAGTAATCTGAAATATAATGGAAGACAAGGCTAATGGAGTTGCATTGAGAGCCAAACAAAGAGCAGGAGATGCTCTTAAATGCCACAGTTAAAGTTAAAACTTAAATGGAAGATAAGGCTTTTAGGTCAAACATATTGAGATAATGATTTTGAGGCAAAACAAAGAACGAGACGGCGTTTATATGCTCTGATGTTCCAGAAAAACATCATTCGTTGCCTGCAGGAGGGGTTGAGTTGAGGCTGTCGAGCTGCCCACAGAACTCAGCCTTTGTGCCCTCTGCAGGTCTGGAGGAACAAACACCTCACAGCTACCACTAGTGCTGAGATTCAAGTAATCCTGCAAGACAATTACAAACCTGTAGTAACTGAAGAAACTGGTTCAATGCAAGCATTTTTTTGATCTGAGCTGAGCCAAAACGTACGTGTTCGGTGGTTTCTGACAGCAGGAGTTCAGTCCTTTCCACCAGTTTCTTGAAGGTTGGTCTCTTCAGAGGGTCAGCACTCCAACACCATCTCATCACCTCATAACTGAAAAACACATACACAAATGCCTCGTATCATTCACATCAGGCATAGAAATATAATGCCATTCAAAATTTTGGGGTCAGTATTATTTTTTTGTTTTTGAAATTAATACTTTCAGCAAAGATACAAATAATTTGTTATAAAAGATTTAAATTTCAAATAAAGACTCTCCTTTCGAACTTTGAATTCATGAAAGAATACAAAAAAAAATGTAGCATGGTTTCCACAAAATATTTTGCAGTGCAATTGATAATATGTAATGTTACTTGAGCACCAATTCAGCAATAAGAATGATTTCTGAAGGATCATGTGACACTGAAGACTGGAGTAATGATGCTGAAAATTCAGCTTTGTATGGAAGTCTGTTTCTGCCACATAACAGAAAAAATCAAAAAGATAATTGCAACTTTTTATCTCACAATTTGGACTTATGTTATTCTGAGAAAATTGTGAGAGAAACTCAGAATTTTACAACTTTTGTAAAAAGTTTACATCTCACAATTCTGCGTTTATATCTGAAATTATGACTTTTTTCCTGCATGCCATTAAAGGTGGGGTAAGCGATTTTTCAAAAACACTTTAGAAAACTGATTCGGGCCGAGTAGCAAAAAGGGGCATGTCTACTCCTGATGTGGAGGAGAGAACGTTCAGTCCAAGCCGAGCGACAGAAAGATAGAGATGGCGGATAAAAAACAAAAGAGGAAAACGTCTGCGGAACAAAAGAAGGCTTAAGGCAAGAAGTAGGACCCGTGTAAATAATGGATCAGCTTTCCAGCGCTGGAGAGAACTCAAAGAGCGGAAGGCCTGCGATCGGACGCCGAGGTTGCTTTGTTTCTTCTCGATAGGTGAGTAACCGTGTCTGCGCCGCAACAGCTGAAGTCTGTCTAGTACAGTGGACGCGACAAAGCGACCGTTGAAAATCATTTGAAATTTGTGTCAATACGTCATGAATAGAACGCAGCAGCAGTTTTTCTGTCTGGGATTTGTCGTGTCGCGCCACATCCAGTGTAGACCATAGATATGTATTTATATCTATGGTGTAGACAGCATCACTGATTATAATGAGTTCTATAGTATTTTGTCGTGCTGCGCCACTCGCG